GCCCGGAGCCTCCGCAGCGGCGCTTACTATCCGCGGAGGCGACGGGGCACGGCTGGCTTTAATTCTTTTGAACGCTCTGCCCCAGCTGGCTTTCCCCCCGCTACCCGCCCCACACTCGCACGTGGGTCTCCACCTGGTGTCCCAGTCGCCTCAAGCAGCCCGCCTCAGCCCTCACTAGCAGAGTCCCCCGGCGCGCACAGGCGCCACCCTCTTCGCCTGGAGGCTCCGGCTCGCTTGGCAGACCAAGGTGGCGCGCGTGAGGCCTCACGGGAGTTGTAGTTTTTCCCCTTTCCCGAGCTCGGAACGCCCGTTGCAATCCCTTTTCCTCAGACAGGAAAAGCACCACCCCAAGGCTGTTTGTTCCCTGATGCTCCGTCCCTTTGCGTCTTAATTGCGCTGCGCCCCTGCCAAGGAATGTCGTGAGGAAATACTTGCACCTGTTTGGTGCTTGACAGTTTGAGTTGTTTTCTGTCATTTCATCCACCCTGTGAGCGAGGTGGTATGTATATTCCATTCCACTTTGCACAGAGGGAACTGAGAGGAGAACGGAATTTTCTAAGCAGTAGTGTTCTAGAGAAATGAGTGAGGGTTCCAGCCTGTCACAGCGCCTCAGCTGGCAGTTGCTTTTGCTTGGCCGCACCAGCAGAGTAGAGGTAGGGAGAACAGAATGTCTGGAAAATAGGTAAGAATGTCAGAAGGATGGGTCGGCATTTAGCCCTATTTTAAGAATGAACAAACATCATAAAATACATAAACCAATAGAATTAGGGATACAGAGGAAAAAAAGAAATGGACTCCCCCAAATGGAAATAAGTTCTTCTCATCTTGGCCTCCTTTCTTCTATAAAATGTTCACCTTTCAGATCACATAACTTGAGGCCCGAGAAATACTGAAGACTTACTATGGAGCACTCAGTTTTCTTTATTTTTGAGATAGGGTCGGTCTTCCTCTGTAGCTTTGGCTAGCCTGCAACTTGATGTATAGGAGGCTGGCGTTGAACTCATAGAGAGCCACCTGCCTCTCCCCCTAGAGCGTTGGGATTAAAGTTGTACACCACCACACCCTACCATCTACCCTGACTTACTTGGTGTGGCATTCTTGGGGTGCACGTGATTAGATCGAGTATATTATAACTCTCCCTCATCAGCATTTTTGTTTTGTTTTGGTTTTTTGAGGTAGGGTTTATCTGTGTACCTCTGGCTGTCATGGAACTCACTCTCTAGACCAGGCTGGCTTCTATCTCACAGAGATCCACCTGCCTCTGCCTCCAGAGTGACTTAAGACCCGATCCTCACCAGCTTTTTGCTCTTGTAAGGAGCATGTAATATTTATAGTATGACAGTACAGTAATTCTTTTTTGTTTGTTTTTCAAGACAGAATTTCTATGTGTAGCCCTGGCTGTCCTAGAACTCGGTCTGTAGACCAGGCTGGCCTCGAACTCACAGAGATCTGCCTGCCTCTATCTCCTGAGTGCTGAGATGACAGTATAGTAATTTAAGAGTGCTTTTAGAGTGTTTTGAGGCTCACAGATAAAAGACATAGTAAGTCCAAAGTATTCCTTTCATTCTATTAAAGTGCCACTTGCTAAAATAAAATCCAGAGTACTATCATAAAAAATTGTACAGTTTCTGAAAAATAATATGCCTTAGTTGCAAGTTGCAGTTTTTGCCTTAAAAACCGAGTGCTTCTTTTAAGGGGTTAGGGGGTCTTTTAACCTCATAAGACCTGGGAAACAACTGTGTGTCCAAGGAAGAAATTACTTGTCCACTCTAATCAGAATTATTATCCATAACAAATATTAAACATTTACTATGTGTTAAGAATTATGATAGTTGGGCTAAAAAGATGGCTCAGCTATTAGAGCCTTGGCTCACAATCAAGAAGACAAGAATTGTTGTAGGAGCTGATGCTACAAGAATGTAAGTAATTGATTCAAGAAATCAAACCTGGGGTCGGAGTGATGTTTCAGTTGTTAAAGCTAGGCTAACAACCAAAATGCCAGGAGATAAAATCTAGAGAGATAGGACATGTGCGAGGATGTTTAGTCCATGATAAAGAGCAGGTGCTTGCTGAGAGAGTGGAAGTGGATTTGTCTGAAACAATCAATGGAAGGACCAAGCAGGAGGGACCTGCCCTGGGTTTCAAGAACAGAAAGTAAGTCAAGAAAAAAGTCAAGAAAATGGCATTTCAACCCCATTCATCAGTGATTCTCAAGTCCTACTAGGAGATTGTTTAAAGTATATCTTAGACTAGTGGACATAATTCCCAGAGGTTCTGAATTTGCATAAGGCCTCGGTAGCTCCATAAAAATGTCTATTGATTGTGACCTAGGTGGTCATAATTAAAGTACACATTAGGACAAATGTGTGGGTATCCTCTGGGAGCATATTAAGAAATGCGAATTTTCAGTACACAATAAAGTTCTACTAGAGGAGATTTACATTTTAGCAAGTCTAGTAATTTATATTTAAATATTGTAAGTAATAGTTCTTATGAGACAATTCTTTTTAAATACCAAGTCATAGTGCTGCATCAACAACTTTCAAGAGATGAAATTACATAGGACATGTAGTAAAGACAGGAGGAATACAGGCTTTAATTTACTATCTTTTCTAACCAGCCTTCCCTTACTTCATCAGTAAAATCCTAACTTATTAACTGGCTACCTGACTCTTACCCAGTGGGTCAGGCTTATTGTTTAGACACAACCCATCAACTCTAAGAACATTGTTTAAGTGTGTCCAGAAGGGTGGAGTCGGGAAAAGCTCAGAAGCTTTCCTTTCTATTGGGGTTTGTCCAAAGCATCCTGTGTCTTTACTGTGTTTTTATTTGGTAAGTTTGTCAACCTTGTGATTATGCAAGTGGGTTCTTGGTTCTCAGAATGGAAATACATTCTGAGAAATGAATTGTTAGGCAATTTTATCATCAGGTGACTATCACAGAGTGGCTATAATGTCACTATGTGATAAAATTGTGTGGGATCACCGTTATATAGGAGTCCTCCTTTGACACAAATGTGACATTGTACATAACTGTATAATATAATTAATATGTGTACATTTTGATTATGATGTATGCATATACCAATTGTATATGTTATCATACATAATTATGGTTTTGTTATTGCATTAGTCAACTTCCCATTACTGTGACAAAATGCCTAAAATAAATCAACTTATCAGAAAGAAAGGTTAATTTAGGCCTACAATTTAATAGACTTCAGTCTGTGGTCATTTGGCTGTGTTATTTTTAGACATGTGAAAAGGCACTGTTACAGCAGAGAGTACAACCTAGAGCAAAACTGCTCACCTCAAGGTAGCCAGGAAGTGAGAGCTAGGAAAAGGCTGGGGGTCTCATATGCACTTCAAGAACATGTCCCAGAGACCTAATCCTACCAACAGGCCCATCTCCTAAAGGTTTCACCACCCAAAACAGGCTGGGGTCTAGTCTTTGTAGAATAGTAAAGACATCTAAATTATGATACATATTTATATACTGGTATATATTATATAGCAATATATGTGATAGGTCATAATATGTAAGTATATGAAATTTATCCTTAAGAGCCAGATATGGTGGCTACATAATCACAGCACATAGGAAGTGGAGGCAGGAGGATTTGGAATTTATGGTAATCCTTGGCTACACAGAACTCATTGCCAGCCTAGACTACATGAGACCCTCTTTTCTTCCCTGTCTCAATCCCAAAACAAAACAAAAACCTAAATGGTTCAAAAATACTGTGTGTGTACATACATTATATATATATACATATATATATATGTATGTATATATGAAGCATACCTTATAATTAGGCAAATAATAAATGATAAAGCAAATGGGTAAAATGTTACTAATAAATCTGGGTAAAACAAACATGGCTATTCTTTGTGCTGTTTTTATGACTTTTGTCATTTTGAAAAATCTAATTAAAATACTGGAAGCTGTCGTTCTGTTATAGTAGCAAGAAATTAAATTTTGGGTATAATTCAGTAGTAGAGTATGTTACCTTGTGCATGTGAGGCCCTGGATCAGTAAAAGTATGTTTTATCAGTATCAGAAGGCCCACCTTCCCCAGTTTTATGTGTGCTTGGCGGGTTGAGGGCGTGGAACACACACACACACACACACACACACACACACACACAAAGAGTCTATAGCTGTAGTTCATCGAGGTGTCTGCTGACATGCACACTGTCTGGAGCCATACTGGTTACTGACAACACTGGAGGTCTGTCAGGTTTCTCTGAATACTCTTCATCAACAGTTACCAGAAAATCTGGTTGTGGTTATGAACCTGTAGCCTCCATCTAGGTTATCACATATCTGTTGTATTAGTCAGAGTTCTCTAAATAAATAGAATGAATATTGATTAATTTTACTTATTTATTTATTAGATTGGCCTACAGGATGCAGCTCAAACTGTCCAACACTGGCTGTTTCACACTAGAGAGGCAGAGGGTCTGATAATTGCTCAGTTCATGCAACTGAATGTCTCAGCAGCCCCAGGATAGCACCGAAGGACTCAAGGGTTCCTGGAGAATGGCTGTCTTCGGTTTACAATGGAAGTTGGTCCTGATACTGGTGAAGGAATGTACCAGCTACAGGATAGATGAACTTACCAGCGAGTATGATGGCAAACAAGAAAAAAGTTTCCTTCCATGTCCTTTTGTCTGGGCTGACCATGTTTAGGCTGGGTTTTCCTGCTTCAGATAATCTAATCAAGGAGATTTCTCACAGGAGTGCCCAATGCCTTATGTTTTATTGGACTCCAGATGCAGTCAAGTTGATGATGAGCTATCACAACCTTTCCTTTTAAAACCTCAATAGGTCCTGGAGGTGGTACCAGAAAATGTAACTCAGGACCAA